GCAAGTCCACTTGTCCATACGTTTGGACGTATGAGCTTCAATTCAGACAAATGAGGCTTCAGTGCTTCCCACAGTGTTGTTAAAACTGAACTAAGGCTCTCTCCTGTTGGTGACAGACCGGTTAAAGATGGGATCCACTGAAGAAAGACCTGGTCTTCAGCACCCTGTGTGCTAGCCCAGAAGTGTTATTTGAAAGCCTCTGTTACATCTGCTGCAGGCCCCCTAAACAAGTGGACTTGCATTTGGACATTCTCAGAAGGAATGGTTATAGGCTGACAGGACCACAAAGGAGATGATGCTAGATCAGCCGTGGTCAAACTATGGCCCGTGGGTCGGATCCGGCCCCTTTGAAATGAATAAAACTTAAAAAAAAAAAAGACCGTACCCTTTTATGTAATGATGTTTACTTTGAATTTATATTAGTTCACACAAACACTCCATCCATGCTTTTGTTCCGGCCCTCCGGTCCAGTTTAAGAACCCATTGTGGCCCTCGAGTCAAAAAGTTTGCCCACCCCTGTGCTAGACAGTTGATAGATCCTATAGTTCAACTTCATTCTAGTTAGAAGCTGTATTCATCTGACATCAGAGAAATGAAATTTCAGGAGACCAAAATGAGATCTGAGTTTCTTTACAGAACTTCTTTCCCAGACTTGAAGCTCTTGGATGCTATGAGTCCTGGATATGCAATAGATGACGACGACATTTTCCTTTTATGTATGAAGGTGTAGATGGAAGCTGACTTTTCTCACCAAAAATGGTTTATAGAATCAACTTGAAAAACATGAAGCAGCAAACAAAGGAAAAATATTTCTTTTATCATCCTTAGGTTCTTTGCTAGATTGTAAACTCCATGAAAGCAGGATAAGTTCCCTATCCTTAACACCTGGCCTATAATAAATACTCAAAACAAAAAAAAACAAAAACAACCAAAACTGATCTAAGAAGCTATTAGCTTCCTAGACATCTCAGACCTTCCTCCCATGTAAACTCTTATGTGACGGGGAGGTTACAAGTTTGGCTAAAAGATGTCCCACGTTAACTCCACGCCTAAGTCCTTTCTCTACTGTGAACTCTCTTATGATAACGAAGGCTATGGATCCTGGTAAAAGACTTTCCACATTCACTGCACTCATATGGCCTTTCTCCAGTGTGAAGTCTCAGGTGACCTACAAGGCCATTGCTACTAGTAAAAGAATTCCCACATTTAGGGCACACATAAGGCCTTTCTCCAGTGTGAACTCTCTGATGAAGTACAAGGCCACTTCTGCTGGTAAAAAATTTGCCACATGTACTGCACTCATAAGGCTTTTCTCCAGTGTGAAATCTCTGGTGATAATGGAGGCCAGTGCTACTTGTAAAAGATTTTCCACATTCATGACACACATAAGGCCTTATTCCACTGTGACCTCTCTGATGATAACGAAGGGATTCCTTTCTTGAAAAAGATTTCCCACATTCATTGCACTCGTAAGGCTTTTCTCCAGTGTGAACTCTCTGATGCTTATGAAGGCCTTGGATTTTGATAAAAAATTTCCCACATTTGTTACACTCATAAGGCTTTTCTCCAGTGTGAACTCTCTGGTGATATTGAAAGCCATTGCTACTCTTAAAAGATTTTCCACATGCAAGGCACTCGTACGGCCTTTCTTCAGTGTGAACTGTCTCATGACTACGGAGGCCACTGCTACAGCTGAAAGATTTCCCACATTCACTGCACTCATAAGGCTTTTCTCCCGTGTGAACTCTCTGATGACTGTGGAGGGCACTGCTACAGCTAAAAGATTTCCCACATTCACTGCACTCATAAGGCCTTTCTCCTGTGTGAAATCGCTGATGATACTGAAGGCCAGAGCTACTGAAAAAAGATTTCCCACACTCACTGCACTCATAAGGCCTTTCTCCAGTGTGAACTCTCTGGTGACTACGGAGGCCACTGCTCCCAGTAAAAGATTTCCCACACTCACTGCACTCAAAAGGCTTTTCTCCCGTGTGAACTCTCTGATGACTGCGGAGGGCACTGCTACAGCTAAAAGATTTCCCACATTCACTGCACTCATAAGGCCTTTCTCCTGTGTGAAATCAAACTCACCTCAGATGTCAAGATTTCATTTGTTCTATCCCTGGTGGGAGTAGTCTGTTGCTGTAGATGTCCTGACCCAGTTAACATGTCTTGTCCAAATTCCCCACAGGTAAAAGGTTTCTGTGACACACTAACATCACCGCCCCTCGCAAGAGAGATGCTGTCCACATCTCTAACGAAAGGCTTGTCTCTCCTATGCTGCTCCTGGTGCTGGTCAAATTTTGCACGGAAATAAAATCTTTTTGCACATGCCCCACACCTCAACAGTATCTGGCTGTGTTGGGTTTCCTTCAGTTCAAACAGATGGAAAATGTTTCCCAAGACCGGCCCACAACTCCCACAGGGGTGGCTCTTCTGGGAGGACAAGGCTACCTTGGGATTCCTGGCCTGTGACACTCTTACAGAAACCTTCTGTTCAGGGGGAGCCGCCACATCCTCTGCGCCACAGCAGCAACCTGAAGAAAAGGAAAAGCTGGTGAGGTTCACATTGACCTGAGAGGGAAAGGGTAGCCTCCCCACAAATACCCATCTGCCCCAGTGAGGCAAGATTTTATGGGATGATTTTCTTTTGTTTCAAATATTTTTATTGATTTCAGAGAGGAAGGGAAAGGGAGAGGGAGATAGAAACATCAATGACGAGAGAGAATCATCTATTGGCTGCCTCTTGCACGCCCTCTACCGGGGATCAAGCCCGCAACCCAGGCATGTGCCCTTGACCGGAATCAAACCTGGGACCCTTCAGTCCATTGGCCGATGCTCTATCCACTGAGCCCAAACGGCTAGGGTTATGGGATGATTTTCAAGACAAGTGAGTTCGATGCTAAGAAATGGCTGGCTGCTGCTACACATTCCTTGGCCCCAAAGGTCAGTGAACATTACAAACCACATCAAGAAAAGGACACAGCATAGGATGAGACCCAGAAAAGAGAGGCAGGGTCCATTAGTTGTTCCTCCATAAATGGCTTCCTCTCAGAGCAGTTTTGCGGGTGATGGGAGTCTGTGTAGAATAATTCGAATGTGCTCCCACCCATAAAGAACAGTTGTATTAGAGTTGGCATGACATGATGTTCAAGGTCAACATTATGACACATGCACACTCCAAGGTTCTGCAGGCATGGATCAACACTGCAGTCCAGGAAAGAAAAACCTGTAAGGGAAATGTGTGAGGTGCAAAGTTTAGAAAGGTGAACATTCCCCATGGGCTGGGAATCTGAATAGAAAGGATCACTATCGCCCTGACTGGTTCGGCTCAGTGGATAGAGCGTCGGCCTGCGGACTGAACGATCCCAGGTTCGATTCAGGTCAAGGGCAAGTACCTTGGTTGCGGGCACATCCCCGGTGGGAGGTGGGCAGGAGGCAGCTGATCGATGTTTCTCTCTCATTGTTTCTAATTCTCTATCCCTCTCCCTTCTTCTCTGTAAAAAAATCAATAAAATATATATTTAAAAAAGGATCACTATCAGAATTGAGTAGTTGGCAAAGTGTCAATAAGGGAGAACAAGTAGAATAGAGTGGAACTGGCAACGGTACCAAAAACTGAACAACAAAAGGAGTTCCTAGTAACTACTTCCACAAAGCCCTGGCACCCATCTCTCTCCAACAGCACTTTATCCCGGCAAGACTGCCTCGGGGGCCATCCTGGCCTGGACGGGGTCATGTATCTCCTGTGATGCACAAATGATTCTTTCCCTTAAATCCCAGTGGAGCCATTACCTGGGATAGAGATGAATAGAAATCCTAAAAGGAAAACTGAAGAGCTGGATGGCCAGAACGTTGGTATGACAACAAAGCACAAAAGAGACCACAGGAGAAGATCTAAGTGAGTGACATCAGCAAGATGGCAGACCAGGGGATACCAGTGTTCATCCCTCTCCCAGATCAAGGAGACAGCTAGCTCTCCATGAACAACCACCAGCACAAGAAAGGGGAGTAAGAGTCCAATGGAGACAGCTTCCTCCGCGCTCAACGCCCGTTGGCAGGTGTACAGTTGGTCACCGCGGCCACTGCTAATGCCGGTGCCTGGAGAGTCCTGGCTGGACCAAGACCTCCCCCAACCCCCGCCATGTGAGCAGGTTTCTTCCCCCCACCACCTATTGCCACCATGCCAGGGAACGTCCTCAAGCCCTGGCCTTCAGGGAAGAGGTAACAGGAACCTGGAGTCGAGCTGCCTCCTGCACACTCCCTACTGGGGATGTGCCCGCAACCAAGGTATATGCCCTTGACCAAAATCGAACCTGGGACCGTTGGGTCCTCAGGCGGACGCTCTCTCCACTGAGCCAAACCGGTTAGGGCTCTCATCGATGTTTCTGACTCTGTACCCCTCTCCCTTCCTCTCTTTAAAAAATCAATAAAATATATTTTAAAAAAATTATGAAGATAACATTGTGTGCCTTAATAGATACACAATATGAAAACCTGTGAATGGAGACATCAGAAACTTATAAAGGAGTTTGGTGGGGAGTCAAAGGGTAGCATTTTTGTATTCAACTGAAGGTGTTACCAGGATAAAATAGGCTGTAAAGAGTATGCGTTCTTTTGTCTTAAGTCTCTTAGAAACCACAAGCAAAAACCTGTGTGATAGATACACAAAAGAGATACGAGTCAAACCACTATACAAAATGACCAACTCACACAAGAAAGACCACAAGGCAGTAAGACAAACAAACGGGTGCAAAAGAGTTAAAAAACCAATGAAGAAGCGGCAATAGTAGGTCCTAAAACAAATTCTCCAATCAAAAGACATAAAAACCTGGCTGGCAGGGCTCAGTGGTTGATCTTTGACCTATGTATGAACCAGGTGGTCAGGGTTCGATTCCAGGTCCGGGCATATGCCTGGGTTGCGGGCTCGATCTCCAGTACAGGGTGTGCAGGAGGCAGCCAATCAATGATTCTCTCTCATCACTGATGTTGCTCTCTCTAGCTTCCTCGCCCTTCCTCTCTGAAATCAATTAAAAAATATATTTTAAAGAAGAAAAATACAGCCCGAGCTGTTTGGCTCAGTGGATCGAGCGTCAGCCTGCAGACCAAAGGGTCCCAGT